GCACCTGCTCGTCTAGTCAGGTGGTTAGTTTCAAATACTGAAAAACTGGTTAAGGATAGCCTTTGAAGGGTTAGGGTTAGTGTTTAGAATACAACGTCAAGGCTAGGCACATTCAATATCGAGGAGATAGTAAATGTAAAAATTGTTATCATCCATTTTTATCAACGCGATGATCAGAGTGCGGGTTACATAATTCAGGACCTAGTCAAACTGATTGGCTAGTCAAAATGTGATAATTGATAATCTTCCATCTTATCTTCCCACTACGCGTATAACGCTTGGAAAAGAAAGGTATATACACGACTCTGAATATAACAAACTTTTCTATAATGGAACTTTTTGTTCTTTCAGTATCTTCAGTTCGTTATAGAAAGAGTTGACTGTAGTTATTTTTACTTGGTTCTTGTTTTTTGCATTATTTAGATGCTTAAAGAATCTTTGACGCCATTGCATCGTTCTCTGATATAGATTAATATAATTCGTGGCATCAAAAATATTCATGGACAGTATGCCCGAATTAATGGAAATAAATTAGAAATGAATTTTATTCCTTATATTCATGCAGACTTGTGAGTCAACATTGGTGCAAAATATCTATTCCTATTCTTTGGAAAGATCACTATTTAATAATGCAAGTTTTCTTAAGCCTTAAAGTTCTCGATTTATGTTGTCTAAAAGAAATGACTAATAAATGGCTCAAACTACAACAAGTTGGTCCGATATCACTGACGACTCATTAATATTTTCAAATTAAGCCAGAGATCTTCTACTCATTAGGACAAAAATATATTGTGCACTTGGAAGCATTATTAACTCACAAGAGCAACTTATTCAATTCACCATAATCGGTGATGATGAATATCCTGAAAAATTTAGCAGCATCATTTCGGCTTTGGAGAGCTAAAAACAATTATTACGGAAACTTGTAATGAAGAGTTCGAGATCTTTTGAGGTTTGTATTTTTTTTTCTTTTTATTTTAGCGTTGTTTTCTGTCACTTTTATTTTTTTGCACTAATACTTACCAACTCCTTGCTTATTTAGATGTTTAAGTAGATCTTTGGGGTCTTTGCGTCGTTTTTTGGTGGAAATTTGGAGTTATTCGTTACTTTCCTTGTGGTTAGCTTTTTTTTAAAAAAAATTATATATACATTATTTTATTACTTTTTGTTTTTTTGTTCTAACTTTTTTTTGCTTGTTTTAAGTACTTGAAGGTTCTCAAGTGATAGAATTTTAGAAGATTTTTTTCAGCATTTTCCTGAGATTAGTAATTTTTTTTTTTTAGGCGTTCTTGCTTTTGTTTCTTTTGCTCATTTTTTGCACTAGTTTCTACTAACTTGCTTATTTAGGTGCTTAAAGGATTTTTGGAGTCTTTGCGTCGTTCTTTGGTAGTAAAATTTTTCTTTCTTTCAGATATAGTTTTGCTTGAAGTTATGAAATCATTGTTGCAGTTGTCATTATTGGAGTCGTTGGAATTGATCTATATTTACTGACTTTTTTTTTTCAGTAGAGTGAAGCCTTTATTTTACACAATATTGTTTTTTATATTTAAGATTAAGTCCGTTCTCAAGAGACTATCTTAATGAGTTTACCGAACAGTTTGATTGGTTGAAAAAATTGATCATAATCATTACTTGGGTCAAAAAAAACCTGAAGCTGCGACCACTAATTTTTTTTCATAGAATTGCGCGGATTGGTTAAAATTTATCATTGATAGAGTAATCAAAGAGATTGCTCAAGCTCAAATACTTTTATTATTTTTTTCGTAACATGGTCCTCAACAAGACCGTCGTCGCTACCAAAAAATTATTCATGCTAAAAACTCAACAAATAAAAAACATTCAAAGTTGATATTCAAAGAATAAAAAATCAATTTTTTATATGTTGTATATATACTGTATTTATTAAAATAAGATTCATGCTTCATTATATTTCGATATCGCTTTGCTTAACATCAAAAAATCCATATAAAGTTGCGTTGGCAAATATGGTTGTTGCCATAATGACTATACAGCCAAATATGACTATTGTTGCAATAATAAGTTATTTATGAAATTGTTAAGAGGACGAATACTGGAGGCAAAGTATCAAACGCCAAAATCTTGGGTGCTAAGTTTTAAGTAATCGGGTAATTGTCTTTTTTTTCTTGGAATCTTGATGAAAATCAATTGAAAGAGATAGCTCAAGTATCGATCGCAATCTTTATTTCAATTGATCGTAGCATTTGAGCGTCACCTCGATTACTGGTCAATTACATTGAGAGAGACGCTTGAGAACAGCCTAAATCATCATTAAATAATACATACTTTTTGGCTGGATGTTCAATATCTAGAAATTGAACCAAAATTAGGTTCAATACTTGAATATCAAAATCTTTATTTAAATATGATAGCTAACTTTAACCTTATATTAACTAACTTATAATAAATGCCATCTTAATTATCTATGCAATTCAGATTATAACCAAGTAGTATTAAATAAATTGTACTTAGGAAGAAAAATGTCTTGCTTGGGCAACTGCAATTTAGTAATAAGTGTAATCTTATAAAATTTAATTTCAAGCATAAGGCCTAATAACTAGAGCTCCAGCCTACCAAACATCGCCGTTTTTCTTGTTGCTAGTTAAATAAATAAATGCATCAAAAAGAGCATTAATGCACGGATGATATGATATCTCATGTTCATTATAATCACGATCAAACATCACATCATAATAAGTATATCGTTTTTAAATAAGGTAAAACTGAGGTTTATAGAGTGCATGTACCATACGTACGTATAATGACCAAATCGCTAATTTTGTTAGTTATTTGCCTTTTCTCTTAGAAAATTTTCATATTTACATTGCCCATATATTCCATCCGCTACTTTTTTGCATGCTTTGCAATATAGATGTGAGTGATTACATTTGTCGCAAACCTTACATCCATATTTCCACTCTCTAAAGATATGCCACTTTTCAAAGTAATTTTTATTTGTATACATGTTATTCGGATTATTATATGTATATTAACAGAAAAAATATATAACGTGGCTAAAAATTTTTATTATACAAACCTATAATATGTGTTTGTGACCCGTTTATGCATAATGATAAGCCTTACATTTTTTGTTACTGTTATATAACATTGTACTATACAGTATGTAATTCATTTTTACCCATTACTAAAATTTGATCTTCCTAATGAGGTAAATAAAATTCTTAGTGAATGAATGCATTTAAAAATCAAATCACAAATATATCTTTATTATTTTTGTAGATATATGAAAATGGGCTAAGTAAAAAACTTAAGAGTAGCGAGTTTCAAGGGAGGAATTTCTCGAGCCCTAACCCATAAAATGAGAGTTCCTTCCTACTACTCCATATTATTAGCTAAGTTAAAATTATTTTTACTATTTATCCAAGTACTTATTTTATTTAAAGTACTACCTCTAAAATCTCCATTATTATAATAAAAATTTTTTATAGTTTCCTTACTAATCCTTCCCATCCCAAGACTACGAATCTCAATAGACACCATATTATATATATCATCTAAAGAATAATTATTTTCTGTCATAATTTTATCAAAAAGAATTTTAAAGTGATTTCTGATTGTTAAGGTAATATCAGAAAAAGATAATTGGCTTGAGTCACTGGAAGAACCCAGAGAAGAACTAGAAGATCTTTGAGAAGAATTAGATGCAGGTACAGATGGAAATTATTCAGATATTAATGGTGTCACAGAACCCGTCTCAGTTATTTGGTCCAACTGGTCACAAAGGGATTCATAATTGGTGGTGATTTCATTAACGGTTTCAATTACAGTAATTACCATTGTCAGAATTCTTTGTCCCTCAACAACAAATGTAGCATCTCGTGTTGTAAAATCTGCAGTTAATCTTTTCACATGTGCATTGAATTCTGCGGTAAGTTGTTGTTTGATGATATACATGGCGAAGCACGTGGTAGCGAAAATCAGATGAACAGGATTTTTCTTGGCGAACATCAATAGGCACACAAAGGCCAAAAATGGTACAACTTCTGAAACATTAACCAAAGACATATCTATAATGAGAAAAAAGATTATTAGTATAGATACACAAGCATGGATAATAACCTAGCAAATATGCAACTCAAAATCAACCTTAATTCGTGTGAAACAGGTGAAATTAGTGGAGTTTATTTTGTTGCTCTTAGCGAGATTACTATGCTGAAAAATACTATTATTTTAGGTATAAGATACGAAAGCTTATTAAATAGTTTATTTTTACAAATATTACTAATAAGAGTGTAGAAGGAATAACTAAAGATTTTTGGATCCTTTTTATACAAGATTTCACAACTTAGAATCTGATTCGTTGTCTCTATTAGTAAAGGCTAGAACATACTGGAAAAAAATATTAATTACTTTATTATCGTATTATTATTGATTTATCATCAAAAACCATAGTGTAAATTCCAATTTTGAGATTGAAGACCTAGATCTAGAGACTTAACAATACACAGTCTGAGTAATGTTGAGTAAGATAAGTGATATTTATTAAAACTAGTATATCTGATGATATTTACAATTACAACGATAACCATCACATTTAGAATTTGACTTCTGTAATGCTACTCAATTTTTGGTTAGACATCAGATATAATTTTACCACTCTAAGTATATTTAACTATAAAGACGTGTACAATTGATCATTGACAAATTTATCCTATTTTATTAGTAGAAGTAGCAAGACTAACATATCATTTCTTATATTATAAAAATTTCTATAATAACTTCAGTATATAGACCAAGTTCTACGTATATGCTACTGAGAATATGCTAGAAAGTTTGAGCAAAAATATGATAAGTTCAACATGGGTATTATTTTATAGTGATCGATCGATTCATCCAAGACACGTATGACATCAGCAGTGCATGTGACTTATAGGATCGTGACCCAGACTAGTGTTGGATTTACACATGACATCGCTCCCCTAAGGCCCAGCGAAAATCTTCTGAACTTATACCAAAGACGACTAGATTGCTATTGCTTTGAGCATCTGTTCTATTTCATTATCTGACTTTTCGCGATTTTTCTCTTTAGCTATATGATAATAAAGCTCATATAATTTCTCTAAACTACTATAGAGATCATTATTTTTATATCTTTTGCTATAATTTTCTAGCCTTTCAGTATATGCTTCTTCCTTAGGGAACATCTTTACTGCGAGTGTCTTAATATAGTTATTTGGATCCTTTTCAGCTTGCAGTTTCTTTAGATAGTTCCCATAATTTTTTGCAAGATTATCATATTTTCTACCCTTTCACAATGCTGTTTTTATGACTTTAACTTGCGCAAGTTCTATATTCTTATAATCAACCATTTTTGTATGCTTCTACTATAGCAAAAGAAAAACTTTAATTAATGAAAAATTTTATTCGAAAAAATATTTGTTATAAATCATCTATGCCTTGACATGAAGTTTAGCTTTCATAGTTCTTTTTTCTGCTTACTCAGGAGATATTTCAGATGCTACCAGGTGTTTATATAATCCAATTTGCCAATGTCCATAGGGAAGAGTTCGAATTCCATCAAGTAAGATCCAGCATTTGTTATTATATGGATTTAACCCTATCTTATTTACCCTTTCCAGATATATTTGATAATAATAACTGCAAAGACTATACATATCATGCTGAGTTAGTTTCTTATTCCTAAGACATTCTAGAAATTTATCATATCGAAGCTCTCTTTTGACCACACATTTCTTTATACCCTTTGCCTTTTGGATACCATGCTTCTTTTTAGGATCTTCAGAATCTGGATCATCAGAAGTTTTAGAATTATGCCCTGCTGGAAGGACTGAGTACATCTTTGGTTTTAAACATGCTGTTTCCCTTATAGATATGCCTTTTGTCTCATCTTTCATTAGAAATAAATTGCCTGAATAGTTAAGATCAAAAATGTCTAGCCTCTCTGCTCGATCTTTAAATATGTCTTCAGTTATTATCTGTATGATAAGTGAGTCTGTGTTTGTATAAAGTAGACAGGCTTTATCTCCATAGCGAGGCTTTATGTAACCGTACCAAAAGTTAAACATCATGGCCTTGCTAATGTCAAGAATTGCCTGCTCTATATAGATTGGTTTATTTAGTATTACTATGCTTTTTAATATATGGACTGCTGTAATACCTCTCTCAAATTGCTTGAAGCCTACAAATAATGGCAAACTTACTAATCGCCTAATTTTTTTATCCTCTTCTATTTGGAGTAGTTCTACTCTCATATGTTTACAGACATTCTCCATCTGCTTGCCGAAGACTGCATTATTTTTTAGCTTATAATACATGACCCCAAACTCATCCCCATTTGCCTTAGCTATTTTGCATTTACGAATATTTTCTTCAATATATTCCTTTATCCACAGAGACTGCCTAAATTTAAGAGCGCTATGAACTTTTGTAATCTTCATTCCGAACTTCATATATGTCTGGAGAGCTCGATAGTGAACTATATAATTTTTTTTAGTAAAAAGGGTCTGAACTAACTTCTCTTCAGACATATATTTACCACCCCCAACTTCTTTATTATATACTAATCTTTTATTATATAAACTAAGCCAGTTTTCTGGAACTATCTGCTTTTCTGGTGCTAATGGATAGTCTGCAAAGAAATCATGCAAGTGCACTGGGCTTCTAGATCAACTTCAAGTGCATAGCCTATTTCAGTATCAGGCGCAATACTTTGAATATCTGGTACTTCCTCTAGACTTATCTTACCTAGAATTTCTGTAGACATGTATTGTGTCATTGTACCTAAATACAAGGTGTTCATATCTTCATATATGATCCAAGACTTTGGTTTACTAGAATTATAGTTAGGACATTGTGAATTATTCGCTTTGGCATATCGATGACTTGCCATTGTCATTCCTCCATGGATTCCATTTTCAACTATCAGATATTCATCCATATCTGTTATGAACTTGAGTTCGACTCCACTGCTCTTATATAATGAATCATTGAACATTCCCGGTACAGATACATAATGAGAAAGATCTAAACCATCATCTTTTAAGCACATGATGGTGTAGTTCATGAAAACATCTGCAAGTAAAAGTACGTTTGCTTCAAGATAAAGATCATGATACTCTCTAAAACTTTTCATCTCAAATGTTTGCCATATTTTTTGCGCATACACATAATTCTCTTTACTAATATTTTGTTGACTAAGAAGCGAATAGAAATTCTTTCTAGGTGAAAGACTTGTTTTATCAAATTTTTCCTATGAGTTTGTCCAGTCATATAGGAATACTCTTTTTCAGAAAAGAAGCTTAGTCTTATCTATTGAGTAGCCTTTTTCTATAAAGTACTTCATAATTAGAGGAAATTTTTTGAGCTTTCCTCCTAGACATTCTACTAACTTATCAAGACCTATTCCCATATGCTGAAAACTATTAAGAAATCGAAGCTAATCTACGTTCATAGCCTTATATTTTCCTATATTTTCAGGAATACAATTTAGCTTATCAGCCGTAAACTTGCTTACAACTTTCATAAGTGGATGAGAATCATACCCCCGGAAATTATGACAAATAAGAGGTACTTTTGTTTTGAAAGATCCTATTCGCAACTTTTTGTTATATGCGTCATGAGCTGGGCCTTGATACTTACCACTTATATGGTCATGATCTTTTACTTTGCGGTTAAGAGAACTTAAAGCTTCTCGGAATTCTTTTTGTATCTTTTTCTTTTCTGGATAGTTTTTCTTCATGTTTGCTTTCCATTCATTGACTTCTAATAATCTATACTTTGCTTCTTCAAATTTCTCTAATATTTCTTGTAATGGTTTGAGAAAAGCCTTCTTGTAAATCTAGTATTCGGTTGCTTCATTATATGACTTTAGGTCTCCTGGGGCCATTATCATTTCAGCTGATGCAAATAAATCTTCTTGAATAGCTAGAAGTTCCTCCTCAATTTTTGTGACAAATTTTTCTAGTGTATCAGGTTCTCTATATAAATCGTGACTCATGATTTCATACTTTAGCGAACTGTCTATATGAACAACTACATAGCAATAGCCACACGGCTTATGCATCTGTAATCTTTCAGTATAGGTTAACTTCGTTTTCTCTTCTGGAGTTAATATTTCGGTTAACATTTCTAGATCCCAGAAAATATGATATGGGTTGGATTGCATGCATTTATGATTATAAAAAGCTTTAATACTCTTATTTTTTATTGGCATTTGCGGTCACTGAGGAGCATTGTTCAAACCCTTGCATTTTGGTAAATGTTCCTTGTATCTTTTCTCTGCTAAATATACATGAAGGCAATATCGGCAAAGGTATTTTCTTCCTTTATGTTTACTATGATTGTATACTAATTTGTAAAGATCTTTTATGATACAGTAGTGGCTTCTATCCTCTTCTGTAATCACCAAAAGATTAACAGATTTGTATTCTTCTTCTCTTCTCTCTGAGATATAACGAAAGTCAAGACATTCATTCTGGTTGTGCCACTCGTAAACACATAGGCTAATCTTTAGATTATTCTTTTCGAACTTATTATAAACTGGTGTTAAGACCGGTACCAGAATTAAAATGGCATCCATATTAAGTTCCTCCACGAAACCTCTATATAGGTAATGTGGATTTCTCTCTGGATAAACTTTAACTGGATGCAAAGCTTCTAAAACACTCCATCTGAAATACCAGTTATTATCATTTTGAATATTTATAATTCTGTTATTACATTTTAGCAAAGTTTCAGGTAAAGGTATATAAGCAGTAGGACCAATTGGATTATAATCAGCTATCTCAATACTAAATTCTTTGATATATTCTGGATAAGCATCGGACATTTTATGTAATATATTAAGTCTAACCAAACCATTTATATTTACTTATATAAAATCTTTTCTTTAAATAATTATATCCTATATTCAAAAATGATTGGTAAGTATTCATACTCTTATATTTATAATTTTGGTTTTATTTGCGCTAGACCTTGTATTCGCCCTGAGGGTTGCCAGTTTCATTGAAAGGCTAAAAAACGTGTCCCTTGTAGTGATTGTAGGAAGCCTACTGGTTTAACTTCTGGTCAATGCTCTTTACATATTAGAGGGTACTATGTGGCTTAATACTATCAAAGATTACGTATCAAAGCCTTGAAAAATATTAAATAATATATATCATATATGTTATATACTTAGGATAGTTTCGTTAGATTTATTATATTGCTAATTTTTGTATATTAGAAACTTAATTAAAGTTAATTCAAGTTATTTTAAAGCACATTTATTTTTATTGTTCTAGAAGCTCTAACTAAAAAGGATTTTTAATGTTAAAATAATTTTTAAAACAATTTCTAATATATATTTTTTCGATACTAAAATTATTTTGATACTAAAATAGTTAGACTTTTGGTTAGATTTAATAATTATAGATGTATTAATTTTGTCCTAACTTTTATTTATCAAGAATAAAATCTGAGAAAATTATAAGCTCAAGATAATATATTAAATTTTTGGTATTAAAATAGTTAGACTTTTGGTTAGATTTAATAATTACTATGTATTTTAGCTTGCAAAAGAAATATAAAAAGTATAAAATGAATATATGACTTAACTGAATTTTATTGCTTGTTATTGTCAAGCAGAGTAGCATAAAAAATTCGGTTAGACTTTTTGGTTAGATTTAATAATTACTATATATTTTAGCTTGCAAAAGGAATATAAAAAGTGTAAAACAAATATATAATTTATCTTAATTTCAAGAGATTTCAATATCAAGTAGAATAATATAAAGAAAAAATCTAACCAAAAATAACAAAGCAAATATAAATCATTCGTCATTTGAGTGACAAAGCAAGTATGTTTACCTCATTAATAAGTCTAACTGTCCCAAAACCCCCACAATGACATTGTGTGGCAGACTACTTAAATAGGTGCTCAAAAGGCGCAGGTATAGCTAGTTGTACTCAACAAATATATACAGCCGTCAGGATATATCTGACAGTTAAAAATACTACTGATATTCGAATAAAGAGCAGCATGGCAAAGAGGTCATCTTAAAACCAAAAAAAAAAAAATTCAAAATATGCATCAAAATTGTCCGATCAGAAAAATAAAACATAGATATTAAGAACAAGTAAAACCACATTATCAAGAAGGTCTTTAAGTACAAGATATTTGGCATCTTTATACAAAAGTCTAAATGTTGCCTCAACAACTTTAGAAATTTCTTGCCAAGCATTATGAGAAATTTCTAAAAGGAGATTAATACACTACAACTTGGGTTTTGTGCAAGTAGTTTTAATTCTCTGAATATATACTTGTATATAGCTGAAAAAAAGGATTAATATTGAAGAAAAATTAATTTATGACTATTAAGCGAAATATGAAGTGGATCTATTATAAGAAATAAAGATAATATTTTGTAGTAATGTTTAGTAAATTATGGTGAGATAAATAATATAAAATTGCTGTTTGAATATAAATCTGTTCAGGCCAATCAGCAACAACTGGAATTAAATATTTATTTTGAATATAGTGCTGTATAGATAGAACATTTGTTAGGGCAGTATTATTTATTAACTGATTTTTTTTATCAGAAGCTTACCCCCTCCCCCTCTTAATATATAATTTGATCAGGTTCTTATATATAATTTTAAAATTTTTACCCTCTCCCTCCTAAAAAATCACCTGATTTTTGTCACATCTTTTACTGTATTAATAGTCCGAATATAATCATCCATAGAATGAAGACAATTTTTCTGTAAATCAATTAATATAGTATCTTTCATTGAATGAGCATTCTGTTTTTCTTTTAATCTAATATCATAGCTATGTATGGTTAGCTCTTCTAATCTTGTATCATTATCAACTATTCTAAATCTCCAATGCTAATTATGTGAAAAACTATAAAGTTTTATGAATATTTTTCTACATTTATTTTAATCAATTCAGCATCAACCAGTCTAGAGTTATATATATTTATTTTTGAAATAGCTTGCTGAGTCATATGCAGATTTATTGAAATCCTTATCAAATGCACTTCAGTTGATGTAGTAGTTATAGTTGTTATTCTTTTTGTATAAATATTATAATAGTCATTAATATTTAAATATCATTGTATTGTCTAAACATTCAGCAAGTACAGACTCTATATTCTTTGCATATTCTTAGATATAGTTGTTTTATACTGATCAACTATATGAGATGTTGTGGTTATAACCAAGTTAAATAGAGTATCAATTAGAGAATTAGGAGCACTAACAGAATCAATATATATCACCAAGTCTTTTTTCGCATTATTCACAAACTTGTTACAGATCCTACAAAGAAAATAACAAACAAATAAAAGCTGCTTTTTACTTTTATTTACAATTTTTTATTTTTAGAAGATAGATTAGAAGACAAATATAACTCATCAAAAAAAGACTTCAATTTTCTATCTTTTCTTTTTATAACTTATCTAAATTCATTAAACAAATATAGAGCTGGCTATCCTTCCTTGTTTTCATGTTCATATAAGATATTTATTATTATTGTTATTGCTTGAAAGAAGAATAATATAGTATTAGTACTTTTAATTTCAGTTACTATATTGTCAGACCTATTATTTTTCATAGTATTCCAAAAGTGTTGTTGGAATTTAATTGAACTATTTACTGCAATTCTGTTATAACAGTTGAAGCAAACTGTATCATCTAATTGAAGATAGCTTGGTAAAGTATTGTTAGTATGGGCTTTAGATATAAAATTTTCAGATACTCTTCTTTATTGAGTTAACACCCTTCTGCAAATAGAGATAACACATAGTTCAGTAATCTTAGTTGGAGGAATATTTTAGTTTTCAATAAAGATTTTGTACTTTTAATTATTTTGCACAATGAAAATTAAAACTCTTTGAGACAAAATACTTTAAAATATTCTGAACATATATAAATTTAAGCAATTAGAGAATTAATTAAATTAAAAATTTGATTAGCTCAAATCGCACATGTTAAATTGACACAGTGCAGACAGATTAACTAATAAAATGAAAGTCTTTCTATATCTGAGACATGCCTTTCATATTGTGCCCAAGGCATGCCTTTATATATAAATTATATGATATATATAATATATATAAATTAAAAAAAGTCTAAAGCACATATATATAAAATATAAACAATATAAAAAATATTAAACATTAATAATTAAGTGATATTAGTAATAATTTTAAGTTTATACTAGCTTGTTTCGTGTTGCTTATACAATGCACTTAGCACTTAAATTTTATTGCATTTATTAACTATAAACAAATAAAATAGATAAGATTATAATAATCTTAAATACTAAACTAAGTTATAAATATTAGATTTAATATTATGCATAATTGGTAGAATATAAAAGATTTGTGTTAGAGGCGAAAAAGTTATCAAATTTATTGCGGTTTGTAAAACTATGTGAAATTTGAAGATGAATAAAGAAAAAAAAGTAATTACTAATTTCAATTACTGATTTTTGATTTCAATATTTTTTTTGAATTTAGATTAGCAGTCAGTAGATATGCCAGATAATTTATATGTTAGATTTGCATATTTATTGATCTAATTAATAAACTTAACTAAATTTTATATATAAATTTTATTAATTTTTTTATTTTTGAATCTTCTTCAAAGTTTAATATAAAAGTTAAGCTAAAATTTTAGATATTTATTCTTGAGTATCTGAGATTCTTTGTATTAGAGTTGAATGTTTATTTATAATGTTTCTTAGTCAAAAGACTAACATACCTTTAATAATTAAATAATATATATTTCTACTAACTCATTGTCAAAAAAATTATGATAAAATATTTATAATATTTTATAGTAGGTTAATTTTTTGACTTAAAGAACATAGTAAAGAAATATTCAACTTCAGAATCAAAATTATTTTCAACTTTATTATTAAATATTATTTAACCAGGTTTGGGTCATAATCCCGACAAGCGAAATCCCGACAGGTCATAATTCCGACAAAAAAATCCCGACAGCAAAAATCCCGACATCCTGACAATTAAAAATTTGATAAAAAAAATATAGCTAACCC